TATAGTCTTCAAAATTTAGTAATTCAACTTGAGCAGTCATACGGACTTTAATATATTAATTTCACTGTTATGTCCACTTTGTAAGTTGAATATATTCCTGACTGACTGTTTCTAGATCATGTTTGAAACTTTCAACACCCCAGCCATGTACGTAGCTATCCAGGCTGTGCTGTCCCTGTATGCCTCTGGTCGTACCACTGGTATTGTTCTGGACAGTGGTGATGGTGTGAGCCACACCGTACCCATCTATGAGGGTTATGCTCTGCCTCATGCCATCCTGCGGCTCGACTTGGCTGGTAGGGATCTGACTGATTACCTTATGAAGATCCTGACAGAGAGAGGCTACTCTTTCACCACCACTGCTGAGCGGGAAATTGTCCGAGACATCAAGGAAAAGTTGTGCTATGTTGCCCTGGACTTTGAACAGGAGATGTCCACAGCAGCATCAAGCTCCAGCCTTGAGAAAAGCTACGAGCTTCCTGATGGCCAGGTGATCACCATTGGAAATGAGCGTTTCCGTTGCCCAGAGGCCATGTTCCAGCCTGCCTTCCTTGGTATGGAGGCTGCTGGTATCCACGAGACAACGTACAACTCTATCATGAAGTGTGATGTTGACATCCGTAAGGATCTCTATTCCAACATTGTCTTGTCCGGCGGTTCAACCATGTATCCAGGTATTGCTGACAGAATGCAGAAAGAAATTGCTGCACTCGCCCCACCAACCATGAAGATCAAGATCATTGCTCCACCAGAGCGTAAGTACTCCGTATGGATCGGAGGCTCCATCTTGGCTTCCCTGTCCACCTTCCAACAGATGTGGATCTCTAAACAGGAATATGACGAATCTGGTCCTGGCATTGTACATCGCAAGTGCTTCTAAATGCAGTTGGAACTTGAAAATTGAACAGTTGTGTTAACTTTGCCTGGTCAGAAGGGCAATAGCTCTTCGTGATCTGGAAAAAACTATGAAATGACACGGACTTGCAAGATCATGTAAATTTTTGTATAAGAGTAGTGGATATCATTTGAAAAATTGAAATATGTCAAAGTTTTATAGAGTTTTGAAGGTGTAATTAAAACTCTGTTTATATTGTATAAATTGTTTTTATTCTGATGCTTAAATAATTGACCTGTTGGGGGGTGGGGTCTAGGTATGTCGCTACATTTCAGACTTTGGTAGGACATAAGTCTTGTAATAATAGTTTATGCAGCCATGAATTTAGGACAATTTACCCCAGCCTGAATTCAGCAGAGTAATAATCATTGAATACCAAGGTTCAATTCAATGGTGTTTCTCCACCCTGGAAAATTAACTTACATATGATGTGAACTAGGGCAATCTTGACTAGGGCAATCATAGAATCTCGGTTCCAGGCCTCGCTGCTTACCCCCCTTCCCCACCCCTTTTCCGCCTGGTTTATATACAGTAGGAATGAGCAAAAAACTCATATGAAATGAAATTCATCTTCAAGCTGGGCACGCTTCGACCTAAAGGACTAAACATTTAAGTTCTTGTGACTGTGGTCTAGCGCGTATTACACATAGGCGCGCTAAGACAATGGTTTTCCTATTTGTTTAGTTTGTACTTCATGCGTGCTCTTTCCGCGCGTGCGTACGCGTACAGTTTTTTGTATGGCGTGGCTAAATCATTCCACCTACTGAAGAAGGGCTAAGCCCGAAACGGTTGATTTATCCGAAAAAAATTGACACTTTTAGAGCATTTTCAGCAACTTAAGCCTGGTTCTCATATGCTGCCGACATACCTGGGACACCGTCACGGCATATGTGAACATTTACCGCCGAATCATAATCTTTCCTAGGCATTGACCGCCGGCTTGCCTGCGAAGTTGAGCTGAGTTCAACTTCGCAGGCAAGCCGGCGGTTGTCSGCGATGAAAATATTTTATGTGAACATCATCTGCGGACGCAACGTACTCCAGTAAGACATTTCGATCCATATTTACGGGTAAAATGGTTCAAACTTGCGCAATTCGATTTGCATTTCGCGCAAAATTGAGTACGTCGGCGATCCATCGCAGATGCGCCGGGGACCCACTGGGACAGATCGCCGAACGTTGTCAGTTGCAACCGGCGACTACGTCGCAGATAGATCGGCGGGATATGAGAACCAGGCTTTATTGTTTATATATTTTCGCGCGAAATGGAAGCGTTCTCCATCTGGGTCTGCTATAAAGCGCTTCAAGCCACAATTTTTTTCCTTGCCGTTTTCCGCAACGTCCTATTAAGAAGGGAAGAGGAAAAGAAAAAGATGAGAACTGAACGTGAAACCATCCTATTTTTCGGGTCTTGTTTCCTCGTAGGCTAGTGAAATCGAATCGAATGCGAAATAAAATGTGGCGCCGTTGTTTGCAAAAACACTTTGGTCATAAATTTTTATTGCAGCAATGGCTCTAGTATAACACCCCGGTTGGGCGAAGTCAAATATTTTTCAAACAACTTTGTTTTTACGTCTACATCGCACAGCAAACGCCCCCACAGAGCACTACACCTTCGTCTTCAGTCGCGCGTTTTTTGATTTCCTTACTAGCCGCGGTAATCTGGGGCTAGTGCTGACTAACTCTACCCATGATTCATCTGGAGTCTGACAGCAAGGCGAGCGAAGTTTCAATATGGCGACCTCTACTGATATGAAAGGAAATGTTGTTAAAATGGAAGTTGACTACAGTGATACTGTAGATAAGAGGATACCAGAATGCGAGAAATTAGCCACTGTAAGTCACTTGCGTTTTCACCTGATTTTTGCAACTGGGGGTATTCTTTTAAAATGATTTTGTGTGGCACATGTTGGGCTTTTTGTCGTGGCTAGTTTCTTCTGTCGTAATGTCTAGTCACATTGTCTCCATTTATTAGGATGGAAAACTCAGTGAAGCTCTGGAGATCCTTCTAGCTCTAGAGAAGCAAACCAGGACGGTAAGTAATATTACAAACAATACGTGATCATAGTAAACCTGGCTTTGACATGTTCATTTCACAAATTAAGCTTTAGTCAAAAACAAGTTAGTGGGTTATTTAAAACTCCAAATATCGAAAAAGACACTTAGTGTCTGTACAAAAGAAAGAAAAAAATCACGCCCTTGTAAGTGCTGGTATGCTTTTGCTGGTTTACAGTTTTAGTGCACTTAAACCACGAACACTCAATTTTTAGTGCAGAGTGCACTATTGGGATGGTTTGGGTGTTGACGTCGCTAAAGCACTATGGCAATAAGGCACTATGGAAATAATGTGTAAACTTTAATGTTTGTATAATTAATTAATTTCAATTCATTAATTTGGCTTGCAGCAAGGAGGGGGGGAGGTAGGATGGGGTAGGTACTTGTGAGCACTATGTAAAATGGGTGGCATATGTACCTACATTACTTCTTGGATCTCTTCAAAAAACTATATATTTGTTTCAGAAAGCCCCTTGTTCTCCTTGTGGTACTTTTCTCTTTAGAACAAAACCAATATTTGCTCTAAACGCATGCACAGATTAATAAGCGTTAGTGTCAACTACATATCAGATGGAAGATACATTTCATACAAGATCACACACTACCGTTGCACGCTTCTCCTTGTGGTAGAACCCTAATATGTCATATGCATGCGTTCTAGCATTGTTAGCACGATACAAGAGTGCTACTGTGACTGTGTGTCTTTTGGAATTACGCCTAACTTGGTTAAACCTTCCTTGCTCCTTTGTGGTTTATTGTTATCTCTTTGGTGTTTTTCTATCTTAGTGAACTACTTTTTTATAGCCTTGATAAGGTTACTTTTTAGGAGCGGGTAACCATTTATAATTGATTTTAACAGATGATCAGACATTCCCATTTCTTCCTGGTGAGAAAGTCAGTATTCTGATTACTTTATTCTTTGATTAACTTCAGGCAGTAACAAAAATGATCCAGGAGGCCTTTGCCTATGTAGAACAGACTCCTGACCTGGAGACCAAATTGAAGCTGATAGACACACTTAGAACAGTTACAGCTGGAAAGGTAAAACTAACATTGATAATGGGTTGTGCAGCAAACTCCTCATCAAAGAGGCCTTAAAGTTGATGAATTAGTCTTTAGATGTGTTTCTTTCCAATTTAAAATCACTGATTGATGATCTTGTTGCATGTGAAGAACTCACTCGGTCTAAAGCATTTTGGAATTCCCAAAAGCAAGGGGGGTTAAAATGTTCATGCTGTCCATGGTAGGGTATGGATATTTTCTGGAATAACCCAATTAATAAGGTTCAAGATGGTGGAGGTTTGACTTAGCTGACAGTAAATGACTGTGGAAGAATATCCAAGGAAAAATGGTTTGAGGTTGAGAAAGAGGGGAGTCTCAGTGTGAGACTCCTGATTGGAAGATAGCAACATTTATTTGAGGCATTTAAGAATACAGGCAGATTGGGCACTCAAGCAGGTTAAAGCATGACTCAGAGCATAATTTACATAGAATCTGAAAACAGTATTACAACTTTTCAGTAATTTGCTTAAACACCCTCAGGCTTGACAACAATATGACACATTATGACCAGAACTATTTTTTGGCGTTAAGTGCTAGTTATTTGGGTCAGTCATTCTGCTATCTCTGTTTGATTGAATTAAAAGTAAATTGAAAATGGGATGCTAAAATAGTATGTATTGAAATGTTACTGTGATTAACAGACCTGTATAAATATGTTTGCTTAATAAATGGATAAATGCTGTACTGTATGTTTCTCTAGATATATGTTGAAATTGAGAGAGCTCGTCTAACAAGAATGCTGGCTAAAATAAAGGAAGATGAAGGAGATATTGCAGGTAACATGGTCTAAAGACTCAGTATAAATACTTTTTTGTTGTGTAGAAAGAGACGTTCAGTGCCTGGGGATTGTTTAAAAACCTGTTTCAGGGGCTGTACACCATGAAGTTCA